AACAATACATAAATTGGGGGAATAACACAAGAAACTTAACAACACACTACAACAGTGCCTGTTTTGGCTTTTAAAGTCCAAACTTATTATTGACCCTATTACTGCTGTGATAACCTAACACTGTGGGTTACTACCTTGTGCTGGCTGCAGATCTACTGAGTTGGATGAGCAAAATTCTGCTTCTGAGCAGGAGTGATAGGATGTGAGTTTGGGGAGTTGAGGAAGAACAAGATAGTCTGAGTAGAACAATTACTGCTGTTTCATATACATTATTCATTTTTATATAAAATTCCAATGTTGGACAAGGTAGGGAGCTGTAACTGGAGATATACATAAAAATCTTTGGTCGTGGTATAATTAAACGACCTAGGAGAAAGAATTAAGCGAACCAACATTTACACTATAAGTTACAAAGCAAAACAGCTTTGTAGCTGAAAGAAGGAGAGTACATCCTTAAAGACAACATTCTTAACTCTAGGCTCAGAACTAAAGACAGTTTGCCTACTAGTCTCACTTTCAAAATAATTTTATATCAGGAAAGCAAAAAATATTTTCCATTGAGCATATTTTTGTCCTTCTAAACTAAATTCTGGGTGGGAAGTTTTCAGCAAGGCCTGGGTCTTAGATAAAACAAGCAACTGGAAATCAAATTGAAAACTGAAATAATGAGAGTTATGCTGATAAATTGGAATAAATATGGATTGTGTAGTTCACAGAAGCATAAAGTTAGAAATATTTAGAGCACTGTATAGTTGATATTTTAAAACATGCTTAAGCTATTTTAAACAAAGAATGTTTAATGATCAAACAGCTAGATCTAAATAAAAAAAAGTTATAAAAAGTTATATTGTATGATTTTTGTGATTCAAAATCAAAATACATGTATTTTGGTACCATAAATTGTATATATCATCAGTTATGGTTGAACATCATCAAATGAAAAAATGTTCTCTCTTGTCATATTGTAATATAAAATGTCAACACACATAGATGACTTTTACAAACTTGTACATACCTGAAATTTTCTGGTAGATTTACGCCAACAATAATACAGAGTGCTTTCCAGTCTGTACATAAATTCTTCTGTAAATATTGCAAGCTGCTACCAATTGTCAAGAACTATGTAGGCTTGTCCTATCATTAATGTAGAACCCCAAAGTATGAGAGAAGAGACTTTTAGATTTCTCATATTGTGGAACTACAGGCTCTGTGGTTAAACCACTGTCATTATTTTTTTATGTGACTCGTTGAAGCAGTTTAGGACTAAAGGCTGGGATTTAGGACTCCCAGACACCTCCGTTCATGTTATGCATAGGTTTAGCACTACTCTCAGTGTTGGAATAGGAAAGAACATAACATTTTCCCTTCAGTGAAGTCAGCTGAGGTGACAGAGCCTGCCTTCTGCTCTCCCCCAGCCATCAAGACTCTCACGAGGGATCATGTGCATGAGGAAAGAAATTGCTGTCCATGGGTAAAATTGCTGTCCATGAGTACAATTGTTGCGGTTACCCAGCAGTCCAAACTGTCAGCAATGATCATACTTTCTGAATCAAAATAACTACTTCTGAAACCAAAATAACAGAGATTGATGAGAGAGAGCCAAAGAAGTTGGGAACAATAAAAGAAAAAAAAAAAAAAAAAACAACCTTAAAAAAAGTCACAGGTTAGATAGACCAGATAAGGACTCTATTGTCTACTCTTTATAATTCACAAGCTTTTCTGTATTTTCTGCTCTGAAATTCTAAAAAGCCATTTTTTCCTATAGTAAATGAAAAGCTCAGAGGATGTTTTCAAAAAGATCTATTATGTCCATTTCCTTCTTAGTTGCACAAAGCCTGTGAGCATTGACAGGAGCAAACCTTCAGGATAACAAAACCTTCAGGATAAGAAAACACCTTCCCACCCTCATTTTCCTAGAGGAAAAGGTGCTTAATTTCCAGTGTATTATAAAATCCAGCATCCTTCTGTGCATGTATTTCTGAAAAGGCAGAGAATAAAATCTGATGCTTTAATGTGACAATTACACAGCAGCACAAAAATGGTAACACATCAATAAACATAGCACAGGAATTCTGTGATTACCCCCAGATGTTAAGATCTTGTAAATTTAATTTAGTTCCACATTACATTGGAGAAAACACATTCATAGCTTTTTTGCCTGCTTTGCATTAAATGTAAATCTCAATCAATTACATAATCTATATACAAAAATAGATTAAATGAAGGTTATTTAGGTGGAAAGTCACAAATGTTAAGACATGAAAGACTTACATTTCCTTGGACAATTGTAATTCCTTTGTCATTATGTTTATGACATGACCTTCAGCACCAGGATCACAGATATTCACCACAGGCTATTGCCTCACTCAGGACCAAAGCTGCACAGAAAATGAAAATGTGACCCAGTAAGTGTCTGCCTTTGCAAATGAAACATTTTGGAACCTCCAATGATTTTTTTTTTCCAATTTTCTTTACCTACATATTTTGTGGCTGGCAGCAGAGTATGTATATTGTTTAAGAATTTACACTCAGCATAAATTAGGCATCTTTGGTTTATTTGTTTTCACTCTATTGAAAGCTAACATGACCCTGCAAGCCTTTAGGACAAATTTCTTCATGTCTTTCTTGATGTCTCCATAGCTATGCCTGAGTTTGCACACCTTCTTCAATACAAAATCAACAGATCTAAACCACAATCAGTCAGTACCCTGATTGTTGTCCCTAAAATATTTCTTCCACCTAAATCACGTGGTTTTATTGAAATTTGAATGTCATCTCAAAGAACCATAAGAAGTTCTGCTGATAAAGAAATTTCATGTGAACTGCTTTACCAACCATTATGTAAGGTTTTCCATAGATCTTATACACATGCAAAAATTTAAAAAAAACTTCTCACTATTCCCCAGGTAAGAAACCAAAACCCTCAATTTCTTCCTGTTGCTAAACTGTTACAATGTTTTCATGCTGCCAGGCTCTTCCTTTAACACCAATAGGATGCTTATCAAGAAAATTTGCACTTCTTGGAATATTAGATGTGTGATCATTAAATATTACAGGCAATTATTTGAAAGTTAACACTGCTATATCAGTATATTTTCAGCAGTTTTATTCTTTCTTTGCAAAGAGGAAGCTCAGGGAAATTGTGTGTGTTAACTCACAGCTTGCCAGCAGTAGTATCATTGAGAGCATTTACTTGAGAGATACCAGGACATTTCTTTTCCTGTAAACTGTAGTGGAAAGCTGTCAGATTCTGGTCTGTTCCTGTGCAAAATGAACTTGTGCTGCTGTTACATTGTTCAGACTGATATGGGGATTATAAATTATTCTTAGGCATGTACTCTTAGCTTTGTAATTTGCACGCATTTTGGAAGAGTTCTGAACATTTATTATGCCCATAACCTAACCTCCCTAAGCATTCATCACCTGATGGGAATAAAGAGTCTTTGCAAAAGCAACAGAAGGAGCCTCTCTGTAAATCTAGACTTCCAGCTGTAACATCAAATTGAGTTAGCCATTTATCTTCCCTCTTTTCCATAGCTTATAGACTTTATGAGTTACTCATTTAATCTTCTTTCAGTTTACATTTATATTTCCCCGTACAGGCATTATATCTTTTTGATGCTTGAATTTTTAAATGTCATATAGCAGCTTCCTTCTCAAAAATTATTTTCAAAATCTGTCCAGGCAAATAAAGCCAAAATTCTTCAGATCAGACAGGTCTTGTAATTGCATTGGTTTTTGAGTGTGTCTTTATGCTTGATTTTCTGAGGCACAAAGTGACATGACATTGGTAAATAGAATGGAAATTGTGGCAGTATGGCCCTTAGAGAAATCAGAGAAAACCCTCTTGTCACTCATCTTTATTGCACTGGGCCTTCAACCAGAACCCACTGCAGTTAACTTGTTTAGCTTCAGATAACTTGTTTATCTCAAGATAACAGTGTGGTAATGAACACTTAGTTTGTTATCCTAAGATCAAGATTTCATCAGGGTTCCTTGGATCCCTGTTTATCACCTGGTTCCCTGATGAAAATTAAGGTGTCCAAAACGGATTTAAAATTCATACCATGGGAAAGAGGCTGTAGGCATTAAGACACTTGTTTTCCAGAATATTTCAGTCTTTCTGGTACAACCTTCTAGACCACAATCAGGATAACCTGCACATGACTCTCTAATGAGACATCATCAGCTTCATATTGGTAGTTGCAATATTGAATACTGCTTGGTTTAGATTTAAATTTTCTTTTTTGTTGATTTTCTTTCTGGCTTTTATTTCTTGTTGGTTTTGTTTTGTTGGGGTTTTTTTAATTTTGTCTTTTAGTTCCCTGCACACTGCAGGTAGCCCTGGCTACCTCAGCAAGCTCTTTGCACACGCAGGACATGCCAACTCTGAGCGTTTCACTGTTGGTGTCAGTGATGATCTTGGATTGGAAAGTAAGACACCAGCAATGGAAATTGCTTTCATCCATTTCCTCTGTCAAATTAGGCAGCTTTGAAAGAATCTTAAAAATCTTGTCATTCTGCTGCTAAGCATTAGAAAAATTTAGTTGTAGGGAGCTGCTGACAGATCAGAACTATGCTTACCTTATGGAAGCTGCTGTTCTTATAACTTGCTCAAAATTGATGGAGGGTAACTTGTGCATAAACCATCCCTTTCTCATTTGGTGACTCTTCCTTTAGAAAGGTGCATTCTGCAAGCAGAGGATAGATCTTTGCTTTTGAAATCCAACAATTTCCTTTGTGTTTAGCCTCAGGGAGGTCACCAAGTGATGCCAGGTGCCGAGGTGCAGAACAGTCCTGATGAATACAACAACAACAACAAAACAAAGCAAAATGAAAACAAAACAACAAAAAAACTTACCACCATTGAAAAGAAATAAATGATTGCTAAACACAAAGGCATCAAAGAAGAAAAAAATATGTCTGCCTATGAACCTCACAATAGCACAAAACACTTTACACTGTTCTTTCTAGCTGTAGGTCTGAAAAGCCTCAAAATTCAGCACTCTTCAGCAGTTGCCTCAAGCATACAAAAAGGCTAAACTGAAATTTGTGTAGCATTTTAATGAAAAATGTTAGTCTTGGGAAAAGCCTGAGACTTTAGTTTTATTTTTATGTTTCCTAGTTTAATGATAAAGCAGGAAAAACAAATATTTATCTTTTTTCTGTTAAGCCCTTTTTATCTAAGCCATTTGTTCTCAGTGACAGTAAAAGAATGTAAAATATTGCAAGTAAATTATTTTAAAGTTCCCATATATAACTCACAAGTACGAAAATTCGAGAGAGATTAAGGTTTTTTTTTATTTTCATGTGATTCTTTGCCTCTACTTTCTTGATTAATCTGAGACTATAACTTTAAAATGCATTTCTTTCTCTAAGGCAAGTTTTTAACAATTCAGAGGTTTACAAGCTGTTGTGAAATGCATAGGAAAGATAAATGGATAATGAATATTACAATGGAATATTATGTTACATGTAATTATCTGTGCTACAATATAGGTAAAAATATTACCTGTTTATTAATACATTTTCAAAGGTCATTACTTACTTTCCTGAGGCATAACAGAATATATGTGACTAAGGGTTTTTTCTATGACAAAGTTGTGTGCAAAACCATCAGTACATAGATGTTCAAGAAACTGAACTTTTAAGTTCAGCTATGCAAAATCTCCATGCAAAAAGTTTCCAGGAAGAAAAAGTAGAATGCCATATCTTGTACCAGTGATACATTATGCATGTTTTTTGTACAGGCTTTGAATGTTTTGCTGATGAGTAAGGCCAGGCAAGATTTTGTTGTGTTTTTTTTTTTCCTGTGATGCAGAACACTTTTTCTGAACACAATTTGAAAACTTGGTGCATTTTCTAGTCTCTATAGACATCTTGCACCTTGATTTGATTCCTGGATTTCTGGAGAGAATGAATAAGAAATGACATAGGAACTGGAGATCACAACAAAATAATGTGATGCATTCAACATCCTTTATAATTTGTATAGCAAATGTATTATCCAGATGTGTGCCATGATCGGGAGTAATTCAGACACATTAGATTCACAGTGCCTGTGTCACACCACATGCATGCACATAATCCTATCCTGGAAATAAAAATGCCAATCATTTTATTTTATTTAAATATTTTACATTTACTGTAAAAAATCCACCTGCCCAGCACTTAAGCTTTTGTGTCAGGGAGTAGTTTCCTGTAGAAACTCTTTCTCCACTGATGTTGGGTTTAATAGATTTGTTTTTACAGAAAAATAAGGATTAATTTTTCACATTAAGAACTGAAAAGTACAATATTGGAAAAATTATTGTAAATGTTTGTTTTGTTTGATTTTTATTAATTTTCCCTAATCTATTTTTAATGCTCTGCATCAAAGTTTCACAACAATTGTTTCCTGGAATCATAAATTTATTCTCCAAACTGCTAAAATAATGGATAAATATGAGAAAAGTGTTACCTGCCTCAGCAGCATAAATGGAAACATTTCCTTTTATCAGATTAGTACCAGTCAAAATAGCGCAAGTTATATTACTTTCTCTTGTTAAAGAAAGCTCTTCACAGAGCATTTGGATGCACAGATGTGATGTCAATATGACCACATGAGGATTTAATCTCATTGGAACTGAGATCTTGCCTCTCTGCAATCAGCCATCTGAATCTTACTTACTGAGGTATATTCCAGAAACAAACTTTAGACAGCTAGAACTTCTTCCAAAGGGATCTTGAAGTTTTATGGAGAATATCTTTTATCTGTAAGGATTTGTCAATATTGTTCTGAAGCTTTTTTAAAGTAAAAATTTCATACTGTTCATGGTGTCTGGTATATAGTATTCTTTTTTCCATTTTGAGATTCAGATTATCAAATGCCTTGGAAATCTGCTCTTTTGTGTGTGAAGTAAAATCTCTGAGGTAAGCTAGTTGTATTTTACTCCTGCAGCACAAAACAGGGACAAGGATAATAGATGTATCAGCAGAGGCAAAGTACAGTGGAGCAACCCTCTTTTGTTCATGAATGTGGAGCAATGTTCTCACCCCTGTGTCTAGTAGAGAAATCATAAGTGGAGCTGTTTTCTTTCCCATTTCAGCATCTCACTTGACGAAAGCAAAGGACAGCTGCTATAACAAGGAGGGGAAACCATTTCTTCCTCTTTTGCATCCCATAAGACATGAAGCCATATGGCCTACCTCATTTTATACCCTTTTATGACCTATCCTTACATAAAGAAAAAAAAAAAATGTACTTATGCTTAGCCTTACACACATATGCACTCCACAGCCTAAAAGATTCTAAAGCTATTGGGTTCCATCAGCCTCTGTGCACCAGCAACAAAGTGCTTCAAGAACATCAGAATCAATAAGACATCAAGTCATGAGTGTCTTCATGAGCGTTTAATTGTTGCCCAAATTGGCAAAATTATACTAGAATATAAAAACAAATTGTCATGTAGGTAATCTTGCTTTCCGTTCACTATCAATTTAACCTGGATGCACACATACCATTAAGTGTTGGGTACTCTAATTGAGGAAAAAATGTGATTTTGATAGACAATGACCAGATGAGAAAAATAATTTAAAAAATATACAAACTGATAGAAAATACTGGGGAAAGGGTTTTATTAAGCATGGGAAAAAATCCCAACAAACCAAAGAGATAAACAAACAAACTCCTCCCCACACACAGCTTTTAGCATTATAATTTTCAAATCTACAAGAAAAACTACTTTAAAGCATAATCACTTCTTTTCCTGATAGCCCTCAAAGACAGAGACATATTGGGTGTCAAAAAATCCTGTGGAATTGTAAAGGAACCATAGGGAAATAATTTCTAACAAGCACAAGGATAGACTCCCAAAGGAGCCCAAGCATTAGAGACCAATGTACTTGTCAGGAGTCTCTCACTCCATGTGTCTGTCTATCTTCTGTCTGTCTACTGGAATACAGTATCAAGAAGAAAATAAGTAAAGCTCTTTTATTCCTTCTGACTGAGATTTTTCTAACTCCCTTTTATATGGAGACACATTTTCCAGTCCCTGCTGTCCCTGCCTATCAAAGGAAAAAGCAGGCAACAGCTGGCTGATCAGAAGTCAGTATGACAATCAGAACAGAGTGGCAATCAACAGAGCTACAGCAGAGCAAAGCCAGAGGAAGATTCAGAACCCCACATTCTGAATCTTCACTTTCCCAACCATAACATAGTAGACTTTTACCCAAGGCTTTCTTTCAGATCAAATGAAAATATGAGACAATGAAAAAATCTTTCATATGCTCAGCCCTTTCCTAGGGAGTTTCTGCAACTGCAACAGAAACAGAAGAAAACATCAGCTTTATAAAACCTAACTTTAAGAGTTTAAAATGGTACTTTGATTTCCTATTCCCACATTGCAACTGTTCACAAAACAAAAACAACAACAAAAAAAAAAATCAGAATACCTCCACTCAATGGCCATGCCTTTAATTAGACCCTTCACTGTTTTTGATGTATACACTTTGATCTACATCAGATTGAAATCTGGCCTTTTTGTTTTCACACCTTTGTTGCAAGTACTAGCACTAGTCATACATTTTCTGAGTTAAATCAGATAGAAAGTAATAACTTTTTTCCCATTTCAGACTCCTATTTTAAATTTGTTTTTCTGGGATCTTGCTATACAATATAACTTGAATACAAGTGCAACATGCGTGCTTATATTTCAAGAGAAGAAATGAAAAAAGGATTATTTAACATCTGAAGAGATGAGATCCTTATACACAGGATAAGAAGTATGAATATTCCTAATCTGGTTTTGTGACATGATGCAACATTGCTTGAAGCATAAAAATGATGCATGTGGCTTTAATTTGACTGGTTTTGATTTAAGGATATGAGGGAGATGGGAAAGGAAATCAGTTATGGGCGCTGCGTTTATGGATTATTGCTCTGCAGGCACATAGGTCAATGAGAGTTGGCCTTCAAATAGTCAGGGAAGATGACAAATAACATACAGATGAATCAAACTGAAAATTAAAATACAGTATTCAAAACTGGGGAGTGACCTAGGTAATATTTAAATTTGATAAAATACAGACCTCTATATTATAGATGTTTATATCTTGCTTGTCATCTGCTTTCCCTTCATAACTAGTGGAGGCAAATTTAGAATATAATTAATTCACTCTAAAAAGAATGTTCAAAATGTCAGATGAATTAAAACCTTCCTGCAACTGCCTAATTCTCTTTATGGACTGTAAAAATAGCTTATGCTGATTATTTTAGGTCTGCACAGTACAAGTCTAAAATTAGGTAAGATTAATACCACAATTAACCTCTTATTATTACTTGAGCTAGCTGTTAAAAGTAGCTAGGACACTTTCATGAGGCCTGCAAAACACATATTTGCAGAATCATCTTTCCCACGGTGAGAAAGCCGTAGAGAGAAGCAATACTCTTCCCTAAAGTCCACATTGGCTGGATAAATGCAGGCTGTGAAAAAAAACTGGTAGCTTTGCAACTCGCCTTCCACCAGTGAGACCATGAAATGGAGGCAAATAAATTCAGTTTTCTTAAATTTTTTACCTCTCAGAGTAGTAGACAAGTTGTAGGGGGATTTTTGGTAGGAATCAGACTGAACAATTGAAATAATAATCTTGCTAAGCATGAGAGAAACTTACACTGCAGCAGTAACTATTGAGCAAAGACAGATGATATTCTGTGTTTTAGAAGATGAGGAAGTCATTTGCAGAAAAGAAATTATAAAGAGGGACATTATATATTCAGCTACAATTAATACTTCCAACATGTCTTGGAAACTCATTTT